TCAAACTCAAACCACACGGCAGCAACAAACAGGAAGTGACGTGGCCCTCGGAGAGCCCAGGTGATGATTACCTTATCATCACCTTGATTGATGATTACCTACAAGTAAAATTAGGTTGGCTGGGAGTTGATAATATTTCTTTAAAAGTATTGTTAGGAAATGGGTCGAGGCTATCAAGAGTGCAAGAAAATGTGTTTAAATACCTGAAAAACATAGGAACAATAGATAGAATCTAGGTATTTTCTTTTTTCTTTTTTTTTTCTTTTCTTTTTGTTTGGTTTATTTTATTATATATATTTTTTTCTCTTTTCCCTTCTGTATTTCTTTCTTCCAAATTTAGGCACACTCCAGATCAGTAGGTGGCGGTAATGCACCTTTTTCGCTGGTTTGCCAAACCGCCATAAAACACCAGAAGAAGAAGAAGAGTTTATATCCTGACCGCTAGATGGCAGTCTTCATCTCTGAACTTAAACAGTGACAGGAAATACATTAGGGCACGCCACTAATGTTAGCGTTAATATAGTTCGCTGCTAGTAATGGAGGATGAAAGAATTGTTCCAGTTCCCGTTTTGGTGTACAAAACTGAAGTGTGGCGTCATATGGCTTTTAACGTCCACCGCTTGCCGCGTCCCGTGTGAAGAGCCTTTGCGCGGGGCAAGGCAGGCAGTAGGGTCGCCGCGCGGCTGCAGCTTTCTCTCGTGGTGGGGGCGTTTTGTGCAGTTGGGGCGGTGCTCGCGTCGCGGTCTCGGCGATTCCACGCGGAGCTTAAATACAAACTGAAAAACCTGTGGGATCCAAGTGGAAAGGTTCTGAGAATGTTTAACATATGTATTTATTTTATTGTTTTAAAATAGTTTTCTTCGTTTCTTAATTGTAAACTTAAAATGTGAACCTTTAACTCATGTGGTGTTCGGGTCCTTTTTGCTCTGAAATTTGTTTATTTTTCCCGAAAATACTAGTTAATGTTATCGCATTGGACTGACACTTTTTGACTTTTTTCACAAAGGGTATAACTACTTCTAAAAATTTTTTTGATAATTTTCGTACTTTTCTGGGGGAGATTTTTCACCTTGTTACACCCGTGGTGTTACAAAGCAAAAAGGACCCGGCCTCAAAAAATGCTTATAAATCACTAATTATGCTATACTATCATCAAAGATTGGATTCAATCTTTTTGTCAACTTTTCTTTCATTTAGGACTGGTTTTGTATTTATATTTGCTTCTGATTAATCGTTGGCCTCATTTATCTGAAAGTAGGCACCTCATTTTTTGAGTGAAAAAATGATTATTTATGAATAATTTTCACAATATTAAATAAAAACTGAAGAAAATTTGCACTGTTTATCACAATAGTGTACTTTAATGTTTAATCAGGGAGTTTGTTTTGAAAGGCTTTTATTTTGTACAAAATGGCACAAAGTCACACTTGTAGTGTTCCCGGTCAAAAATGTCCAGCCATTCAAAGTGAATGGGAAAGAATGAAACTAATAGAAACTATTAGTGTTCAGGAGCATGTTGATCATGTTCACGTTCACATATGTACGTGTGCTTGCAAACAAAGGCCTTGGACCTGCTTTAAATATTACGAAGCTACGAGAATATATTTCGTCACGTGGATACATTGTTTTCGTTCAAATTTAAAGCATAAACAACGTAGACATCGTATCCGCGTGACGCAGCTGACACAGAATAGCATACGCAGTTTGCGTTCAGTGGAAATTCTCCAAAATGGCACCAGGGTGACGTGGAGCAGACAAATTGTTGAATAAAGTCAAACAAATCTGACCATTGTGACATGAAAAAAACAGCACTGCCATATCGAGAACATTTCATGGTTCAACAATATTTATATGTTCTGTCTTTGTGCTAAAGCATTTATTAGTAAACTTTTGCCTGCTTTGTGAGAACATGAAAGCCTCAACACCTATTGTCATAACATTTTGTCTAGAAGGTGTGATGAAAGAAAGAAGATGAATGAAAGATTATTTTGAAGCAGGGTGAAGCCAGTTCGTGTGTGTGTGTGTGTGTGTGTGTGTGTGTGTGTGTGAGAGTGAGAAAGAGAGAGTTATACTATCAGATTGATGAAATGATATTGGATGCAGTTCAGGGTAG